ACGAATATCTTAGACATCATACAACAAAACTACCCGGCATACTGACGAATATCTTAGACATCATATCATACAACATAACTACCCGGCATACTAACGAATATCTTAGACATCATACAACAAAACTACCCGGCATACTAACGAATATCTTAGACATCATATCATACAACAAAACTACCCGGCATACTGACGAATATCTTAGACATCATACAACAAAACTACCCGGCATACTAACGAATATCTTAGACATCATACAACAAAACTACCCGGCATACTGACGAATATCTTAGACATCATATCATACAACAAAACTACCCGGCATACTGACGAATATCTTAGACATCATACAACAAAACTACCCGGCATACTAACGAATATCTTAGACATCATACAACAAAACTACCCGGCATACTAACGAATATCTTAGACATCATACCACAAAACTACCCTGCATACTAACGAATATCTTAGACATCATACAACAAAACTACCCGGCATACTAACGAATATCTTAGACATCATACAAAAAAACTATCCGGCATACTGACGAATATCTTAGACATCATACAACAAAACTACCCGGCATACTAACGAATATCTTAGACATCATACAACAAAACTACCCGGCATACTAACGAATATCTTAGACATCATATCATACAACAAAACTACCCGGCATACTGACGAATATCTTAGACATCATACAACAAAACTACCCGGCATACTAACGAATATCTTAGACATCATACAACAAAACTACCCGGCATACTGACGAATATCTTAGACATCATACAACAAAACTACCCGGCATACTAACGAATATCTTAGACATCATACAACAAAACTACCCGGCATACTGACGAATATCTTAGACATCATACAACAAAACTACCCGGCATACTACAACAAAACATACAACAAAACCGGCATACTAACGAATATCTTAGACATCATACAACAAAACTACCCGGCATACTAACGAATATCTTAGACATCATACAACAAAACTACCCGGCATACTAACGAATATCTTAGACATCATACAACAAAACTACCCGGCATACTAACGAATATCTTAGACATCATACAACAAAACTACCCGGCATACTAACGAATATCTTAGACATCATACAACAAAACTACCCGGCATACTAACGAATACGAATATCTTACGACATATATCATACAAAACTACCCGGCATACTATACGAATATCTTAGACATCATATCATACAACAAAACTACCCGGCATACTAACGAATATCTTAGACATCATACAACAAAACTACCCGGCATACTAACGAATATCTTAGACATCATATCATACAACAAAACTACCCGGCATACTAACGAATATCTTAGACATCATACAACAAAACTACCCGGCATACTAACGAATATCTTAGACATCATACAACAAAACTACCCGGCATACTAACGAATATCTTAGACATCATATCATACAACAAAACTACCCGGCATACTAACGAATATCTTAGACATCATACAACAAAACTACCCGACATACTAACGAAGGTCTTAGACATCATATCATACAACAAAACTACCCGGCATACTGACGAATATCTTAGACATCATACAACAAAACTACCCGGCATACTAACGAATATCTTAGACATCATATCATACAACAAAACTACCCGGCATACTGACGAATATCTTAGACATTATATCATACAACAAAACTACCCGGCATACTAACGAATATCTTAGACATCATACAACAAAACTACCCGGCATACTAACGAATATCTTAGACACATTATCATACAACAAAACTACCCGGCATACTGACGAATATCTTAGACATCATACAACAAAACTACCCGGCATACTAACGAATATCTTAGACATCATACAACAAAACTACCCGGCATACTAACGAATATCTTAGACATCATACAACAAAACTACCCGGCATACTAACGAATATCTTAGACATCATACAACAAAACTACCCGGCATACTAACGAATATCTTAGACATCATACAACAAAACTACCCGGCATACTAACGAATATCTTAGACATTATACAACAAAACTACCCTGCATACTAACGAATATCTTAGACATCATACAACAAAACTACCCGGCATACTAACGAATATCTTAGACATCATACAAAAAAACTATCCGGCATACTGACTAATATCTTAGACATCATACAACAAAACTACCCGGCATACTGACGAATATCTTAGACATCATACAACAAAACTACCCGGCATACTAACGAATATCTTAGACATCATACAACAAAACTACCCGGCATACTAACGAATATCTTAGACATCATACAACAAAACTACCCGACATACTAACGAATATCTTAGACATCATACAACAAAACTACCCGGCATACTAACGAATATCTTAGACATCATACAACAAAACTACCCGGCATACTAACGAATATCTTAGACATTATATCATACAACAAAACTACCCGGCATACTAACGAATATCTTAGACATCATACAACAAAACTACCCGGCATACTAACGAATATCTTAGACATCATATATCATACAACAAAACTACCCGGCATACTAACGAATATCTTAGACATTATACAACAAAACTACCCGGCATACTAACGAATATCTTAGGCATTATATCATACAACAAAACTACCCGGCATACTGACGAATATCTTAGACATCATACAACAAAACTACCCGGCATACTAACGAATATCTTAGACATACTAACGTATATCATACAACAAAACTACCCGGCATACTAACGAATATCTTAGACATCATACAACAAAACTACCCGGCATACTAACGAATATCTTAGACATCATATCATACAACAAAACTACCCGGCATACTAACGAATATCTTAGACATCATACAACAAAACTACCCGGCATACTAACGAATATCTTAGACATCATACAACAAAACTACCCTGCATACTGACGAATATCTTAGACATCATACAACAACACCACCCGGTATACTAAGGAATATCTTAGACATATCATACAACAAAACTACCCGGCATACTAACGAATATCTTAGACATCATACAACAAAACTACCCGGCATACCAACGAATATCTTAGACATTATATAACAAAACTACCCGGCATACTAACGAATATCTTAGACATCATACAACAAAACTACCCGACATACTAACGAATATCTTAGACATTATATAACAAAACTACCCTGCATACTGACGAATATCTTGGACATTATACAACAAAACTACCCGGCATACTAACGAATATCTTAGACATCATACAACAAAACTACCCGGCATACTAACGAATATCTTAGACATCATACAACAAACCTACCCGACATACTAACGAGTATCTTAGATATCATACAACAAAACTACCCGGCATACTAACGAATATCTTAGACATCATACAACAAAACTACCCGGCATACTAACGAATATCTTAGACATCACATCATACAACAAAACTACCCGGCATACTAACGAATATCTTAGACATCATACAACAAAACTACCCGGCATACTAACGAATATCTTAGACATCATACAACAAAACTACCCGGCATACTGACGAATATCTTAGACATTATACAACAAAACTACCCGGCATACTAACGAATATCTTAGACATCATACAACAAAACTACCCGGCATACTAACGAATATCTTAGACATTATACAACAAAACTACCCGGCATACTGACGAATATCTTAGACATCATATCATACAACATCACTACCCGGCATACTGACGAATATCTTAGACATCATACAACAAAACTACCCGGCATACTAACGAATATATTAGACATCATACAACAAAACTACCCGGCATACTGACGAATATCTTAGACATCACATCATACAACAAACCTACCCGACATACTAACGAATATATTAGACATCATACAACAAAACTACCCGGCATACTGACGAATATCTTAGACATCACATCATACAACAAACCTACCCGACATACTAACGAATATCTTAGACATCAAACAACAAAACTACCCGGCATACGAACGAATATCTTAGACATCATACAACAAAACTACCTGGCATACTAACGAATATCTTAGACATCATACAACAAAACTACCCGGCATACTAACGAATATCTTAGACATCATATCATGGGACAGGATTCACTGGCTCCTCAATAAAACTGACTTTATCTCCGGGTCTCCGTTTTTCATTTGTAATAAACGAGTAAAGACATGTTTGGAAGAAGTTGTAGAATTTTATTTGCGAGAAAATCACGATTACATTGAACAACCTTGAATCGTTTTTTATTCGAAAGCAATGAATTACTTTGGCTGAAAATACGTGATAGAACGTTTACCACCTGTGAAATATCACCGCCATTCTTACAGGTCTTTTCTGTTAGTAGTAAGCTTTAGAAATGTACCCGGAGTTTGTGGTGAACACTTTCACAATGCTAGAGAAAGAAACCTTAATCAACATCTATATCCTTTAACATATCTGCAGTCCTTTAAGTGACCGATTATACACAACAGTCAGATGTGTACTACGTCATAACAACCAAAGCATAGGAAAAGTAGTTAATTACAGGTGAGAGGTTTCTATACCGATAATTGACAGGGAAATGTGGATGATTTCCTGTGAGATGTTTTCACACCGATTACAGGTATGGGAAATAAGCTAAAAAAATGAGGAATAAAGATAAGTTTTTAGCTATTACAGGTAAAAAACGATGATTACAGATGTTTTAATGATTACAGGTAAGATAAAGTTGATATTATAGGTTAAAAGTATATAAGAATAACAGTTTGTTAAAGGTGGGTGATTACAGACAAAACTGGGTATATGTATAAAATATGTAACGATTTAATTCATTTCTCAGTAACTGATCCAGGATTGTGTATTACTTTACACCCGTACTATTTAGAACAGTCCGTGATACGTTATAACTCCTAGTTTATATCCGATATACTGAGTAAACTGGTCAACTATGACACTCCCTTGTTTAACATCAGTCTTATACACACATGAATCCCTCCTTTGAACCACATTCCTGAGATGTACCGTAAATATGACGGGGAACGATCCGGCAACACATGTCGTCACATTCGCCACTCGTGTTACACTCCGCTCCTGCAGTTAAACGGAAGTTCATAAATCAGAACTATACTCACACTAACACTTCTATATCATTTTATTTTTTGATATCTGTGAAAATAGATAAGATATTCTGCTAAATCAAAACCATTCCGTATTCATTCTCTTCAAAATAATACAACTCAGAATTTTACCTATCTTTAAGAAACAAAGTTATCCATTTGACAAGGAATTTTATTGTGACAATAATATTCATCTTGATATATACCTTTATATTTAATGGGTTGATCTGTCAATTTGAACATATTAATATCTCTGCAATAACCCACTCTTCTTCCTGGAAATATAAAACATTAGTTATTAATGCACGTGTATGTGTCATATTGAAAATGGGTTATTAGTATAGCAATGGACGTGTGTTGTTAGTATGACCAGTCAATGGAAGTGTGTTGTTAGTATGACCAGTCAATGGAATAGTGTTGTTAGTATGACCAGTCAATGGAAGTGTGTTGTAAGTATGACCAGTCAATGGAAGTGTGTTGTAAGTATGACCAGTCAATTTAAGTGTGTTGTAAGTATGACCAGTCAATGGAAGTGTGTTGTTAGTATGACCAGTCAATGGAAGTGTGTTGTAAGTATGACCAGTCAATGGAAGTGTGTTGCTAGTATGACCAGTCAATGAAAGTGTGTTGTAAGTATGACCAGTCAATAGAAGTGTGTTGTAAGTATGACCAGTCAATGGAAGTGTGTTGTAAGTATGACTAGTCAATGTAATTGTGTTAGTATGACCAGTCAATAGAAGTGTGTTGTTAGTATGACCAGTCAATGGAAGTGTGTTGTTAGTATGACCAGTCAATGGAAGTGTGTTGTAAGTATGACCAGTCAATAGAAGTGTGTTGCTAGTATGACCAGTCAATGAAAGTGTGTTGTAAGTATGACCAGTCAATAGAAGTGTGTTGTTAGTATGACTAGTCAATAGAAGTGTGTTGTAAGTATGACCAGTCAATGGAAGTGTGTTGTAAGTATGACTAGTCAATGTAATTGTGTTAGTATGACCAGTCAATAGAAGTGTGTTGTTAGTATGACCAGTCAATGGAAGTGTGTTGTAAGTATGACCATTCAATGGAAGTGTATTGTTAGCATGACCATTCAATGGAAGTGTGTTGTAAGTAAGACCAGTCAATGTAAGTGTGTTGTAAGTATGACCAGTCAATGGAAGTGTGTTGTAAGTATGACCAGTCAATTGAAGTGTGTTGTAAGTATGACCAGTCAATTTAAGTGTGTTGTAAGTATGACCAGTCAATGGAAGTGTGTTGTTAGTATGACCAGTCAATGGAAGTGTGTTGTAAGTATGACCAGTCAATGGAAGTGTGTTGTAAGTAAGACCAGTCAATTGAAGTGTGTTGTAAGTATGACCAGTCAATGGAAGTGTGTTAGTATGACCAGTCAATGGAAGTGTGTTGTTAGTATGACTAGTCCATGTTAGTTATTTTTTTCCAATACGTTACGGAAAATGTTTTTCTTTAGTATAATAGCTTTCAAAATAACATACACCTATTGTAATTAAATCACAAGCTATATATAAGTATAGTATAACCGTTATTGAGATAAAGATATCAAAGCTGACATGAACTTAGAATAGTATTATTAAAATACTTGGATGTTTCGAGTCTTCCATTGTTTCAGTCAGAATAACACAGTAACTCGGTCAAACTAAATGACGATTCTTACCGGACAAAAAGGAAGTTTTCTTGTCGAGCAAACACACATCGGACTCGGAACAGCAGTTATTTGACTGTAAACAATCTTCTCCCGTCTTACTGCACTGTAAGTAAACATAATTTTTCTGTTATATGTGAGGGAGAAGAAAACAGTGTGCATGTCGTTTTCTGTAATTATACAGTAACATGTACATATACAGTAACAAGTACATGTATAGTAACATGTACAGTAACATATATAGTAACATGTACATGTATAGTAACATGTACAGTAACATGTACATATACAATAACATGTACATATACAGTAGCATGTACATATGTACATATACAGTAACATGTACATATACAGTAACATGTACATATACGGTAACATGTACATATATAGTAACATGTACATATACAGTAACATGTAGTAACAGTAACATGTACATATACGGTAACATGTACATATATAGTAACATGTACATATACAGTAACATGTAGTAACAGTAACATGTACATATACGGTAACATGTACATATATAGTAACATGTACATATACGGTAACATAAACAGTAACATGTACATATATAGTAACATGGTACATATACAGTAACATGTACATATATAGTAACATGGTACATAAACAGTAACATGTACATATATAGTAACATGGTACATAAACAGTAACATGTACATATATAGTAACATGGTACATATACAGTAACATGTACATGAAAATTATTAAATAATGTTTAGGATATCAAACCAAAGATTTTCTAGTTTGCAAGAATTGGCAACCAACCAATTGTTAAGGACATGGCGAGACTCGTCAAAACGGACACAGAGTCCAGGCAAGACAACCGTGTGAATAGGGGACACGGGCCAGATCTAATGATAAACATCATCAAAATACCACGTGATTTATATTAAAAAAAATGAAATTAAAACCAGCATCTTTTGCGTACATTGAAATCAACATGGAACCGCAGAAAATCTGTCTGTATCAAACATTCGCGTTAGATGTTTTAGATGTAACTATATCAATGTTACACGTGGTATTCATTAGAGTAGAATCTAACATAATTGTAATTCATTTCTTTAAAATTCTGACATAGTTACTATATCTCATTAAAATAAATTCTGATCGATATATTGTCCACTGTACCTTTCTGTGTATAAGACAGGTGCTTTGTAGATATATTCACGGTAAACATTGTACATTGCAGTACATTGTGTACAGATATATTGGTAGAAGATGTAAATTGTAAAATGTTGTTTGTTATAGGTCAATATTACCCAATAACATGGTTTTATTGTATAATAATATAAATCATTATAAGATAAAATTATATTCTCCAGAAATAATTCTTCTCGTCCAATATCATTGTTCACACTGCCTATTAACAGGAATAACCTCATCGATTACTCTATTAATGTACTGTCAACATGTGATTTAATTTCTATTTTCATTTACTTTACCACGAGTACACACAACAATCACGTGTTCTTTCATTTTCACTTTTGAATAAAATAATTGATCACCGCGGCATATATTTACAAATACACCTGCAACTAGAAGGTGAAAATTCATGTCTTAGAAAATCAGCCTGGCCTTAACAGTCAAACGATCAATTACCTGCTGTATAAAAATTGTTTAATGTGGGATTGCTGAAATCATTTAATTGATTCTCACTCTGACGTTTCTCCGTAAACATGTATTGATTTCAGGATTTGCATGCTATTTTAGGGATGATTTTCCAGTAATGATTTCCTTCTTCAACGACGCTTCATTGTACGTTATACATCATACTAGGGTAGACTCAAAGTTTGCCCTCCACGTTATACATCATACTAGGGTAGACTCAAAGTTTGCCCTCCACGTTATACATCGCATTTGGGTAGAATCAAAGTTTGCCCTCCATGTTATACATCATACAAGGGTAGACTCAAAGTTTGCCTACCACGTTATACATCATACAAGGGTAGACTCAAAGTTTGCCCTCCATGTTATACATCGCATTAGGGTAGAATCAAAGTTTGTCCTCCACGCTATACATCATACTAGGGTGGAATCAAAGTTTACCCTCAACGTTATACATCGCATTAGGGTAGAATCAAAGTTTGTCCTCCACGTTATACATCATACTAGGGTAGACTCAAAGTTTGCCCTCCACGTTATACATCATACTAGGGTAGACTCAAAGTTTGCCCTCAACGTTATACATCATACTAGGGTAGACTCAAAGTTTGCCCTCCACGTTATACATCGCATTTGGGTAGAATCAAAGTTTGCCCTCCACGTTATACATCATACAAGGGTAGACTCAAAGTTTGTCCTCCACGCTATACATCATACTAGGGTGGAATCAAAGTTTGCCCTCAACATTATACATCGCATTAGGGTAGAATTAAAGTTTTCCCTCCACGTTATACATCATACAAGGGTAGACTCAAAGTTTGCCCTCCACGTAATACATCATACTAGGGTAGACTCAAAGTTTGCCCTCCATGTTATACATCGCATTAGGGTAGAATCAAATTTGTCCTCCACGCTATACATCATACTAGGGTTGGATCAAAGTTTGCCCTCAACGTTATACATCATACAAGGGTAGACTCAAAGTTTGCCCTCAACGTTATACATCATACTAGGTTAGAATCAAAGTTTGCCCTCCACGTTATACATCGCATTAGGGTAGAATCAAAGTTTGCCCTCAACGTTATACATCATACAAGGGTAGACTCAAAGTTTGGCCTCCACGTTATACATCATACAAGGGTAGACTCAAAGTTTGCCCTCCACGTAATACATCATACTAGGGTAGACTCAAAGTTTGCCCTCCATGTTATACATCGCATTAGGGTAGAATCAAATTTGTCCTCCACGCTATACATCATACTAGGGTGGGATCAAAGTTTGCCCTCAATGTTATACATCATACAAGGGTAGACTCAAAGTTTGCCCTCAACGTTATACATCATACTAGGGTAGAATCAAAGTTTGCCCTCCACGTTATACATCGCATTAGGGTAGAATCAAAGTTTGCCCTCCACGTTATACATCATACAAGGGTAGACTCAAGATTTGCCCTCCACGTTATACATCATACTAGGGTAGACTCAAAGTTTGCCCTCCATGTTATACATCGCATTAGGGTAGAATCAAAGTTTGCCCTCAACGTTATACATCATACAAGGGTAGACTCAAAGTTTGGCCTCCACGTTATACATCATACAAGGGTAGACTCAAAGTTTGCCCTCCACGTTATACATCATACTAGGGTAGACTCGAAGTTTGCCCTCCACGTTATACATCCACGTTATACATTACAAGGGTAGACTCAAAATTTGCCCTCCACGTTATACATCATACAAGGGTAGACTCAAAATTTGCCCTCCACGTTATACATCATCAAAGTTTGCCCTCCACGTTATACATCATACTAGGGTAGACTCAAAGTTTGCCCTCCATGTTATACATCGCATACTAGGGTAGACTCAAAGTTTGGTAGAATCAAAGTTTGCCCTCCACGCTATACATCATTAGGGTGGAATCAAAGTTTGCCCTCAACGTTATACATCGCATTAGGGTAGAATCAAAGTTTGTCCTCCACGTTATACATCATACTAGGGTGGAATCAAAGTTTGGCCTCCACGTTATACATCATACAAGGGTAGACTCAAAGTTTGCCCTCCACGTTATACATCATACTAGGGTAGACTCGAAGTTTGCCCTCCACGTTATACATCGCATTAGGGTAGAATCAAAGTTTGCCATCCACGTTATACATCATACAAGGGTAGACTCAAAATTTGCCCTCCACGTTATACATCATACTAGGGTAGACTCAAAGTTTGCCCTCCACGTTATACATCATACTAGGGTAGACTCAAAGTTTGCCCTCAACGTTATACATCATACTAGGGTAGACTCAAAGTTTGCCCTCCATGTTATACATCGCATTAGGGTAGACTCAAAGTTTGTCCTCCACGCTATACATCATACTAGGGTGGAATCAAAGTTTGCCCTCAACGTTATACATCGCATTAGGGTAGAATCAAAGTTTGTCCTCCACGTTATACATCATACTAGGGTGGAATCAAAGTTTGCCCTCCACGTTATACATCATACTAGGGTAGACTCAAAGTTTGCCCTCCACGTTATACATCATACAAGGGTAGACTCAAAGTTTGTCCTCCACGCTATACATCATACTAGGGTAGACTCGAAGTTTGCCCTCCACGTTATACATCGCATTAGGGTAGAATCAAAGTTTGCCCTCCACGTTATACATCATACTAGGGTAGACTCAAAGTTTGCCCTCAACGTTATACATCATACTAGGGTAGACTCAAAGTTTGCCCTCCATGTTATACATCGCATTAGGGTAGACTCAAAGTTTGTCCTCCACGCTATACATCATACTAGGGTGGAATCAAAGTTTGCCCTCAACGTTATACATCGCATTAGGGTAGAATCAAAGTTTGTCCTCCACGTTATACATCATACTAGGGTGGAATCAAAGTTTGCCCTCAACGTTATACATCGCATTAGGGTAGACTCAAAGTTTGCCCTCCACGTTATACATCATACTAGGGTAGACTCAAAGTTTGCCCTCCACGTTATACATCGCATTAGGGTAGAATCAAATTTGCCCTCCACGCTATACATCATACTAGGGTGGAATCAAAGTTTGCCCTCCACGTTATACATCATACTAGGGTAGACTCAAAGTTTGCCCTCCACGTTATTCACCGTATAAGGGTAGAATAAAAGTTTGCCCTCCATGTTATACATCATACTAGGGTAGAATCAAAGGTTACTCCTCATCCATTAATCCCCACCCTCCAGTTCCTAACGGGGTGTCTTGTTGGTGTGAAGCGAAGTGAAACCATAAGAGAGTTTGAAAAGGTCGTAATTTCTTAAAACTAATCAAATTTAACAACAACAAAGAAAGATTGACAACCTCCCTGAAGAAATGCGAAATGTATCCTTAAACTACACTATCCTATTCTAATGAATTGGTATGAGCTCTTCAATAATTGCTATTCGCCAAATACTTTTATATTTCTTGAAATTCTTTAGAGAAACTTACATGTTATATTGCAACGCCGGCAT